GTCGGAACTTTCTGTGTGCCCTCCTCCATTCTCTATGCCATGGCTCTGGATCTTAGATCCAAGGCTTCGGTTTCTGGGCCAAGGGTTTGATCTTGGAATTACTCTTTCTTTTTTTTGATGGGCAGCACATATCTGTAGCTGAATAGTTTTATCAGCCTCTTTCCTGCTCATAGAATTTCGGGAGTCTGACCAGCTACCTTTCGTTTTGTTCTGTCTCTGTCCCTTTAAGTCCAAGCTGGTGGTGTTTTTGATAGTATATCATTTTTGAAAACCTTTTGGGTCTCCCTTGTATGTTGTAAGTGTTCACACCATTAGACAAGAGGGTCCTTCACAAGTATTTCCTTGATAATCCCATCTTTAATCTTGGTTTCTGCTAAAATGGTTGAGGGGATTCATGAGCCACATACCTAATCTCTTCAGCACTAGCAAAAGTTGCTAGCTGTCTGGCCACACCTTTGGCTTTCTTTCCAGAGCCTGCTTCCCTAACAGTGAATCTCACATTTCAAAATCTTTTGCAATCTAAATAGGCTGAGACTTTCCCAAATCATCAAGTCATGGCTGCTTTTTGTCTAAAAGTTCTTCCTTTAAATGATCTGTCTGTTCTCTCACATCTTAATATAATGAGTAAGAAAAGCCAGGCTATACCTTCAACACTTCACTTGTAAATCTCCCCAGTTAAATATCCAAGTTCATCGCTTACAAGTTCTGCTTTCCAATAAGCGTAGGACACAATTCAGCTAGACTTTCTGCTACTATATAACAAGGATCACTTTTCCACCAATTTCCAAAGACATGTTCCTCATTTCCTTCTGAGCCCTCACCCAACAAAATGGACTAAAAAGCATGACTGAACTCTATGTTGTCTACAAGAAAGTCATTTGAAATACAATAATATAGGCAAGTTGAAAGTAAAATAATGAAAAAAGATGCAGTATATGAACGTTAATTGAAGGAAAAGGGCTATATTAATATATACCCTCTGAATTAGCTATATTAATATCAATGTAGAATTCAGAGCAAAGAAAATTTCTAGAGACATAGAGGGATATTACATAATAATACAATTCTTAAAATGATAAAACTATAGAAATGAAGAACATGTTAGGGGATGCCTGAAGTTAAGGACGGGATGGGACAGAAGTTGTGGCTATAAAAGAGTGACATGAGGGGTCCTTGTGGTGCTGGAAATGTTCTGTATCTTGACTGTATCACTGTCAATATCCTGGTTATGATATTGTGCTATAGGTTTTCAAGATGTTTCCACTGGAAAAAACTGGGTAAATGATATATGGGACCTCTCTGTATTATTATTTCTTACAATTGCATGTGAATCTATAATGATTTCAAAATAAAAATTTAATTAAAAAACAAAGGTGCTATCATCTAGAAATATACAAAGAACATAAGCACTTATATTTTCCCAGAAGAATTTTAAATCTGAATTGAAATTATATCTGGTACACTGTACCTTGTTTATTCTATAAGTCCCAATACAGTTAGAATGATTTTAGCAATTCATCAAAAACTTTTATTAAAATATGCTAATGTACACAGAAAAATTTATAGAGGTTCTTAGGCAATATATATTTTTATGAGCATTTGTATCTGTAATTTCTTTGCCTTGGTGGATTTCTAGTGAAATTTTTATAAACAAATAGTGTACTCAAGGGAGTATATCCCCAAAGACTCCAAATCTCATAAATGTAGCCTTTCTGTACACTGACAATTCTTCGGAATTTGTTGTTATCATTAAGGTACAATCATCTACAGGTAATATTTTTTCTTTTCTATTGATACAGATATGTTTGTTTCTCATTTTTGTATTAGAAGTTAAGGTATGGTTACTTTAAGGAAATAATCATTTGTTGAACATTCACTTATTTCTATCATCAGTGCTTGCTATTATCTTGTACATCCTCTTATTTAACACAAGAATTCTGTGAAGTATTTTTTTTTAAACAAATAAATAAAGTAATGAAAGGTTGAAAAGTTTATGTAAATTTTCCAAGATTCCATAGATTGTCAGTGGCAATGCTGAATCCAATCCTGGGCCTGTATGTCTCCAAAGCTCATGGCATTTCTGTACAACACATTGCTTCCATGCCACAATGCACTCATCACTGACTCTGAATTTGTGTCATATACATCTATTTTTCTTAAAATTTTAAGCTTTCATTCAGTCTTGGGTCCATGCCACTTAATAAAGTTCCTACACTGTCCTATACAAAGATAAGAAAGCTAGGATTTTGAAATTCTGACATGTAATTGCATGATGTTCATAAGATAGCATGCTATTGCTCACTTAATTTACATATAAAGTTATTCAAGCATCTCAGTTAACAATGAAAGTGTGACAATGTGGCTGGATGAGCACATGGCTGTTGTTGCCAGTGTGAGCATGTGTGTGTGTGTGTGTGTGTGTGTGTGTGTGTGTATGTGTGTGTGAGAGAGAAAGAGAGAGAGAGAAATAGGGAGAGAGAGTTCAGTCTGCTTGACACTGAATTCTTCAGAGAAAAATAAATTATTATTTAATTTTGGTTGATCTTTTAACAACAGAATTATGAGAATTTTTGTGTTTGCTATTGACAAGGAGTGATAATGCTACAATAAAGAATGGAGGTTTCCAAGAGTAAATAAATCTTATATTAAAAATATAGGAAAATAGTAAATCATCCTAATTTTCTTCCAATAGCTTCGTCTATGCTCATTTCTCTACTTTCACCTAGAATGTCATCTCCATTGAACTGGAGCTAAGAATGGTTATTTTCAAGTATCCTTATGTTCTCTTGAATCAAGAGGTTTCACTTCCATCTCTTTTTAACTCTTTTTCACCTTTTCTCTGTGCCCTATGGTACTCACGGTCATTAACAAAATCTCTTATGTCCTCAATATCTCTTTTGAACACTCCATTCCCATCACTGTCATTTTCAACAGATACTTGGCTCTCCCAGAGGACAATGTTTTCTTTGCAGCCTTCTCAAGTGATCAACACTTTTTCTCTTACCACTTTTAACCCTGGGCCTGGTAGTTGTTAGGGTCTTCCCTTTCCCCCATTGCTGTATATAGCAAAATTCTCTCTCTGTCCTATGTACAAGTGCCCGTAGTTAAGCTTTATATCACCAGACTATGCTAACCAAGCCTCCTTTTCTCTCCTCCTCCTTTTGCAATCATCTACTGACTCGCATCATGTTGTCTTCTCATCTTTGGGAGAATTTTGGCTCTGGCTCACTCTCTTGTTCTCTTACGTTATTCCTGTCACAATTCCTGGTGGTTTTACTATCTCTGCAGAGAGGATCTTCTTAGTTTCTTGACCCCTCCTCCAAAGATCTTGTTTTCCTCCCTACCCAAACCAGTCCCTTCCATTGTTAGAATTTAGACATTATCACTTGCCAATAACTGTAGCTTTTCCATAATTTCATTTTAAGCATCTCAAATGATAATTACCACCATGTCTTGTCTTTCCACCATTCTCCCCAGTAGAATAATTACAGCAAATGTTCAATCCTTGGAAGTCTAGAAACTTTTTATTGTTTTTACCCATCTCATGTACTTAACTTCATCTTTGCTTACCTTGAATGTAATGGTTATTTTACTCTCTACCTTGCCTGTACTCTCAAACGCCACATTTATGCCTTCTGTTGCTCTGCAAAAACAAAATCCTGGTTGACTCGTATTCCTCAACTATCAAACACCCACAACTGTTCAGCTGAAAACAGAGGTATATCAATTCCCTAGGTTCTGGGCACTGGAAGAGACTCTTTATCACCTTCCTCACAGAACTGTCATTATCTTGCAGCCACAACTTTATAAGAATTACTGGATTACAAAGTCACCTTTTCAAGAGTAAATGTAGTATTTATATATTAGCATAATTTAAAAAAACCTTTTTGAACATACAATGAATCAAGTATGCTTTATGATATTCTATATTCTTCTGCAGAAATTATAGAAAAGATTTATGTGATACAAAGATGGTAATGAAATAGAGGAGGTCCAGGAATATGGTTTTTCATCTCAGTTACCAGAAAGCCATTTGACCTAAAATTAGTTACTTAACTTTTTTAGGTCTTTGTTTATAATTTTGTAAAATGCAGGAAATGAAGAGGATTATTTCTGGGATCTTTTGAAGTAGGCATCCTGTGAGAAAGCTCTCATATGTTTCTTGCTTTTTCCTAATTTTTCTCAAGCAAGTTGGTATGGGGAAGAGCTTTCCAGAAGCTGACCTAGAGATCTAATTTTATCAGGCAAGGACTGTTCAGGTGGGGCTGGATACTTGTGTTATGTAAAAGGCTGGAACCTTCTCTTGGCAACCCAGCCCCAGCTTATGCAGAGTCTCAGGCACTTGTGGAAGCTTTCAGGAGTAACCTGATCAATGTGACTTCCCTGGATTGGCTCACTATAATCTCATCTCCTCTTTAAAACCTCAGACTTTCTTTGCCTACTTGTTCATGATTTGAGCATGTTACCCCACCTCCTGCCTCTGTTTACACTTCCTTGATATTGGTTGTGCTTTCCCCCAATTGTGAGACCTTTAGGTGGGAACCACAGCCCACTACTGAGCTAGTGACCTCTTTCTGGTCCTCTGTTTTAGCACGCAACTCATCTGTTTGACCTCTGCCTTGAATTGAGAATTCATAATAATTGCACGTCTTCTTTCATACTGGAAGTGATACCTTAGACATCCTTTTGAGGGCTGCTCTTTTCCATAGGTCTTGGTCCATTCTGATAGTTCTGCCTTGCTTCAATTATGTCTTTAGCTTGAGAAGATCCAGTTACTGATTCATACACTCTAATGGTCAACTCTGAGATGTGCTCATGGAAGAAACTGTTCCTCACAAAACACCTAAACTAACCACATGAGGTGAGTTTACACATGAGTGTCTATATTGTTATGATTTTTATTATTTATATATTGTAAAAATATTAATAAATATCCACATTATAAATTCCATTCTAATATCCATTTGTTTTTCTTTCAGTGGGCATCATTCCCAATATAGATGGGGACTGGAAACTACACAGCTGTGACAGAGTTTATTATTTTGGGGTTAACAGAGGATACTACAGTTTGTGCTATTTTATTTATTGTGTTTCTAGGAATCTGTGTTGTCACCTTAATGGGTAATGTCAGCATAATCATGTTAATCAGAAGGAGTCCTCATCTTCATGCACCCATGTATCTTTTCCTCTGCCATTTGGCCTTTGTAGACATTGGGTACTCCTCATCGGTCACACCTGTCATGCTCAGGGGCTTCCTCAAGAAAGGAGCCTCTGTCCCTGCTACTGGCTGTGTGGCCCAGCTCTGTTCTGTGGTGATGTTTGGGACAGCCGAGTGCTTCCTGCTGGCTGCCATGGCCTACGACCGCTACGTGGCCATCTGCTCTCCCCTGCTCTACTCCACCCACATGTCCCCCAGAGTCTGCATCATCTTAGTGGGAACTTCCTACCTGGGGGGATGTGTGAATGCTTGGACATTCATTGGCTGCTTATTAAGTCTGACCTTCTGTGGGCCAAATAAAGTTAATCACTTTTTCTGCGACTATTCACCACTTTTGAAGCTTTCTTGTTCTCATGATTTTACTTCTGAAATAATTCCAGCCATCTCCTCTGGCTCCATCATTGTGGTCACTATTTTTGTCATAGCCGTCTCTTACATCTACATCCTTATCACCATCCTGAAGATGCGCTCCACTGAGGGGCGCCACAAGGCCTTCTCCACCTGCACCTCCCACCTCACTGCGGTCACTCTGTTCTATGGGACCATTACATTCATTTATGTGATGCCCAAGTCCAGCTACTCGACTGACCAGAACAAGGTGGTGTCTGTGTTCTACACGGTGGTGATCCCCATGTTGAACCCCCTCATCTACAGTCTCAGGAACAAGGAAATCAAGGGGGCTCTGAAAAGACAGCTTGGAAGAAAAATATTTTCTTAATGCCGCTGGTTATTTTGAAGAGTTTGATATATTATTATTGCATAGATATACTAATAAAAAGACAATGAGTGTTTGTGAATAAAGGATATCCATCCATATACTATTAGCTAGCATGGAGTTTTTTAATCAATTGGGAGGCAGATTTTCAGATATTAAAAAGTAAATCAGATGCCCATCATATATTGCCTTTAATAAGATTAAATTAAATTTATATTGAAAACACAAATTGTTTCACATGAAAAATTCTTAATCTGCTAAAAATTCTTTAAAAAATTTATTCATATTTTCCAAGAGTTGTTCTCTGCCACAAGTTAAGGTTATTATATCTTCAAATCTTTGCACTGTGGCCATCTTCAACATCAGGTTATCCTGAGATAAGCCTGATAACCACAGTTATGACTGAGTACATTCTAAGAGAAAATGACAAAGTGGAACCAGATATATTCTTCTCGGAGCTGGAGACCTTCCAGAGATGTTACCTGCTGAGGATGAGCTTTGTGAACCCACAAAAATCTGGTCTGTGTCTTTGGCTTCTCATTCAGGTATAGTTATAGGGGTCTCAAGAGAAGAACAGGATGTGTTGTTTCTGACTGACCTGTGAATTCTTATGTCAGGTCAAAACAGATGACTTCCTCTATGGGAATGAGCAGAATTCCTAAACTCCTCAGAGACTGAAACAAAAACAGGCAATAATCTCCAAGAGGAGAATCCAGCTTGTAGCGTGACATTATCACTGTGAGGAACAAACCTTTGAAGTGGCTTGTTCATGGTCAGACCCACATCTTACTCAAAACACTAGAGGGAACTGGACCATCTCTCCCCTGAAATTGTGACTGCCCTGGAGAAGCTGAATCAACCTCCACATGCTGACCATTACCAGATTTATTTCCATTTCCTGGCCCCTCTTCTGTGTTTCACACACAAATTTCAACTTTCTGCCAAAAGAACCATAGGGTATCAATCATTTCATTTGCTCATTTGTTCTTTCATACATTCAAAAATCATATTTGGTAACTCTTACAATATTCTAGACTATCGAGGCTATAAGTGACAAACAGCCAAAGATGTCTGCCCTCACAGAATTTATCTTCTAGCATAGGAGTCAAACAATAAAACTAACAAGTAAGTGATACAGACTATTAGAAGGGGGATGAGTGCTATGGAAGGTTGATATGCCAAGGGTAGGAAGTGATTACTGCAGGTCTCACTGGGAATGTAACATCTGAGTAACAATTGCAGGAGGTGAGGACAGTTCATGTCAAATATGGTGATACCTGTGAACAGTTGTGCAAGTCTAATCTCCCACTCACAGGCATGAAATTTACGTTTGAAGTTTCTGTTCCAACAATGGTAGGGTTGATCATTGTAATCAATCTCATGGTGAACACAATGAAAACAAATGATAAAATATTAGCTGTATCTTAAATATCACATTAGAGTTTACGGGATATAAGGAATTGCCTCACCAGAAAGTGTGAGAATCCAGAGAAGTAGACCTCACACTCAAAAATGCTTTTGCCATGAGAGAACTTGACCAGTGAGAAGAAAGTGTTACCAACCTGTGCTGTGGATTTAGTATTCTTTTGATTTGAGAGGGGCAACAGTCAAAGCCTAGGGCATGTTTAGGCCAGGCGCGGTGGCTCACGCCTGTAATCCTAGCTCTCTGGGAGGCCGAGGCGGGTGAATTGTTTGAGCTCAGGAGTTCGAAACCAGCCTGAGCAAGAGCGAGACTCCGTCTCTACTAAAATTAGAAAGAAATTAATTGAACAACTAAAAATATATAGAAAAAATTAGCCGGGCATGGTGGCGCATGCCTGTAGTCCCAGCTACTCGGGAGGCTGAGGCAGGAGGATGGCTTGAGCCCAGGAGTTTGAGGTTGCTGTGAGCTAGGATGACGCCACGGCACTCTAGCCCAGGCAACACAGTGAGACTCTGTCTCAAAAAAAAAAAAAAAAAAAAAGCCTAGGGCATGTTTAGATGAGAAGTCTGATTGATACATCTCACATACTTCCTTGGGGTAGGAGGAAACCTTATATAACCAAGCCTGGCACAGATTAGCAGCCCTGGAGGGCTAGGGAATCTCAAACCTTGAATTTGAACATAGCATAGTCAAGGACAGGTTGCACCCTGGGGTGAACTGAATAAATGAAAAACCAACCCACATCTCAGTTATTCCTACTGATCATTATTCAAAATGAATAACCACACGCAGTGAAAAATAATGACAAGTACAAAAGGAAACAAGGTACCAAACATAGGAGCCAGTAGAAACGATGGACAACAGAAACGAAACTACTAAGATCTAACATTTCCTTAATTAAATATGATGATTTAATTAATCATCATAGACTATAATATTGTGTAAAATTTATGAGCACAAACATGTGGTGAGCCAAAGTTTGTAACTTGCAAACCTCTTTTCTGAACACAAGTCCTGTCAGATATATGCACAGTAAATATTATACCCTTTTCTGTGTTTGTTCACTGTCATTTGAAGAGGGAATGTTTTAAATTTTGATGAAGACCAATGTATTAGTCAGTATGGGCTGCCAACACAAAATACCATAGACTCAGTGGCTTAAACAGTAGACAATATTCTTTTCTTACAATTCTGGAGTCTGGAAATGCAAGATCAAGGTGCCAGCATGTTTGGTTTTTGGTGAGGCCTCTCTTCTTGGCTTGGTAGGCGGCCACTATCTCATTGTGTGCTCACAAGGCCTTTTGCTGGTGTGTGCTCGGCGAGAGAGGGAGAGAGAGAGAACTCTCTGGTGCTTTTCTTTTGAGGGGGCTAATCTCATCAGACCAGGGCCCCACACTCATGACCTCATGTAACCCTAATTATCCCTCACCCCCAAAGCTTCATCTTCACATATCATCACACTGGAGGTTAGGGCTTCAACATGTGAATTTTTGGGGGCACAAACATTCAGTCCATAACAACCAATATATAATTTTTTTTTGCTACTCTATGGTTCTTGTGCAATGCCTAAGAAATCTTTGTTTATTCCCAAATGCAAACTTTCTCCTATATTCACCTCTAGAAATTTTATTGTTTTATCTGTTGCATTTGTATCTATGATACATTTTGAGTTAATTTTCTTTATGATGTGAGATAAGAGTTGGTGTTTTTTTCCATGTGTATATGCAGTTGTTTCAGTAATACTTGTTGCAAACTCTTTCTATCCTTACTGAATATCCTTTAACATTTGTCTAAAACTCAATTGACGGTATATATTTGTGTCTGTTTTTGGATTGTCTTTTCTGCTTCTTTGTACTGTATGTCTAACCTTTTGCCAATACACCACTATTAATTACTGTAGACTTATGATAACTCTTGAAATTTTGTATTGCAAATATTCAAACATTTTTCTTCCTTTCTAAAATAGTTTTTCTTATTCCAGCTAGAAGTCATATTCAGATAAATTGTAGATGTAGTTTATTAATCTCTAGAAAAGATCTTACTAGAATTTTGATTGGGATTTCATTGACCATGTGGGTCAATTATTGGAGAACTGATATTTTAATAATATTGTGTCTTTTAACCCATGAACATGGTATAGCTGTCTAAATATATTTAGATCTTCTTTATTTTCTCTCATCAGGGTTCTATAATTTTTTCATGGTCTTGCATGACTTTTCATCAATTTATTCCCCAATATTTTGTGGTTTTGACCTATTGTAAGTGGAGTTTTCTTTTTTCATTTTTCAGTCATTGCTCCAAGCATCTAAAATGCAATTCATTTTTTATGTATTAACCATATTTCCTGCAACCTTGCTAATTAATTCTAGTGTATGGTTTAGAGAGCCCTCAGAATTTTCTGTGTAAATCTATATGCTATCTGCAGTAGAGACATTTTCCCTTCTCCCTGAGTTTTTATTTTATTTTATCACTTTTACTTGTCTTATTGCATGCCTAGGACCGCCAGTAAAATGTTAACTAGGAGTGATGAGAATGGGCTTTCCTAGTCCTTAGTCTTAGGAGAAAAAGTATTCAATATTTTACTATTGAGAATTGAAGGTTTTTCATAGATGCCCTTTACCCATTTTTTTTTTTGTTGTTGTTCTTCTTTTCCCCTTCCTTGCCTTCTTTCGGATTATTTGAGTATTTTTCAAATCCAACTCAATTTCTTTCTTTATTTCTTGAGACAAGGTCTTGCTCTATTTCCCTGGCTAGAGTGCAGTGGCATCACAGTAGCTCACTGCAGCCTCAAACTCCTGGGTTCAGTTATCTTCCTGCCTCAGTTCCCTGAGTAGCTGGGACTAGAGGCGTGTGCAACCATGCATGTCTAATTTAAAAAATTTTTTGGCCGGGCGCGGTGGCTCACTCCTGTAATCCTAGCACTCTGGGAGGCCGAGGCGGGCAGATTGTTTGAGCTCAGGAGTTCAAGACCAGCCTGAGCAAAAGCGAGACCCCGTCTCTACTAAAAATAGAAAGAAATTAATTGGACAGCTAAAAATACATAGAAAAAAACTAGCCGGGCATGGTGGTGCATGCCTGTAGTCCCAGCTACTCGGGAGGCTGAGGCAGGAGGATTGCTTGAGCCCAGGAGTTTGAGGTTGCTGTGAGCTAGGCTGACGCCACGGCACTCACTCTAGCCCGGGCAACAAAGCGAGACCCTGTCTCAAAAAAAAAAAAAAATTTTTTTTTTGTAGAGGTGGGGTCTTCCTCTGTTGTTCAGGTTGGTCTCAAACTCCTGGCCTCAAGTTATGCTCACACCTCAGCCTCTCAAAGTGCTTATTTGTGTTTATATAAATTAATTTGTATGTGTGTAAGTGATAATAAATTATTTTTATTGAGAGCATGAAAAATAAGATCAAGCATAAAAGTGGCAACTGTTATACACAATTATAAATATTATAGAGAAATATAAGTTCCGTTGCTATAAAACTAAAACATAAAAATTCCTGTAAAATCTCAATAGGACGCAGGCAAAAGGAAGCTTAATTTTTTCTCAGTGCTGCTTCTTCAAAGTCCCTCTTTCAGTTACTTCTTCACTATT